CCCATGGGGCTTTCCAGAGACCCAACCACCTATGGAGACGGCGGGATATCAGCCTGTCAGTGTAAGGCATGATGTATAACGCTGCGGACCAGAGATCTGGCCAGTTCGCGGTGAAGACATAAAACGCCTGGCCGTGTTTGACCACCGATGTTGCTCACGTCCGGTAGAAACACAGACTGAGCAATGATGTGGTCTGTTAGTTGGCTTTTGGCAAGAAGCCTTCTGGTGCCCCACTGGAGTGTTTACTGAATTTTAATCGTTTACCTTGGCTAGGCCGTTCTCCGTGTGCCCGTTGACCAGCTTCCTCGGCGTACATTACACGCCGTGACTGTACCAAGCTGGGTGAAATCACGAGGTGGTCAGTCCATGAAGTGGCATAACGGCATAAAGAAATTGACTGAGAGAATTGGTTAGACGGATGCGTGTTGTCTTGGTGTATGGGGGCCTCGGGATGGTCCACGCCGATGGTTAGAGACCGTAGCTGACGTGGCGCAGTCACGCAGCCAGTGGCGTTGCTGTATTCGGTTTCTTATATTTGATGGTTGATTTTCGTTCCATTTTAGTTAGTTTAACACAGTTCCTACTCGCTTCCACTTTCTTTACATTTTGCTATAAACCCCACTATCTTGCTGTTGTTAGTTATTGTTATTCTTGCGATGTGATTTATGTCAACTGAATACACCACATTTCCGTGCTTGGATCATGGTTGATCAACTGGACTGTACTGAAAGGGAATCTAAACCGTGTTGGTCGCACAGATGAAGTTATCTGGTAGACAAATTTTCAATTGCCAGCATCGCAACATCCATATCACTTTTGTAAAAAGAGCTCGTTTAGTTGGTGATAGAAGTCAACTTTCACCGAGGCTGCGCTACAGTTTGTGGGTGCGTAGGTAGCAATATCAAATATGCATTGTTTGTCCCTGGGCGATTTCGAAGCTTTCGATGAGTCAGCTACTCTGACGGCGCACATTCGCCTACTGGCTTAGATCCAGACGATCAAAGCAGCTTCAGCCAGGGGCTCTAAACTATACCCTCCTCGGCTTGGTTGGCATTGGAAGTTGTATAATACCAAAATAGATGCAATGAGAAAGTGACACCAGCGTCACATGAATGCGATTGTGACGTGAGCACAAAGATCGAGTCTTGCAGGCGGGATTCCGATAAGCAGAGATCGATCGACATGGTCCTCAATGTTCGAGCAAGTGCTTCCTGTGGAGTGATTTGCAACAAGGTGCACACGTTGATGAATGTCAGTCTTATCCAGGATTGAGGGCTCTACAAAGAAGCGGGTGAATTGTAGTTGCCCGTTTGGTTGGGTGTACGGTCCGCAATCACGTGAGTTGAAACTAACAGAAACAGCTTGTAATCAAAATGAGAAGTCCAAGAAATGTGAGCTTGAAAACTGGGGATAAAAGTGAAATTGCAACCGGATGATAAGGATGAGAACGGGAAAGAGAGGAAGAAAACGATGGCTTGCACAGTAGCATCTTTACCCCTATTTACCATGCTTGATGACGCAAATAGGGGGCCGTTACTCAACTTCAGCGAAGCCCTGGGAAACAAAATACTGTTTGAGATAAATGGAGCATAAAGATGAACAAGCTTCAATTGAACATGGCTAAGTGCAAAGTGATGCATCTGCGTCACCAGCCGGTGAGCGCTTATAAGATTGGAGACCACACCTTGGCGAAGGTTTCTCAGGAGCGTGACCTGGGTGTATTGGTACAGGAAGATCTCGGGTGTTCAAAACAAGCAGAGAAGGCGACGAGAACCGGAAATCAACACCTCGGCCTTCTTCGCAGAGCCTTCGGTCGGTTTGAACCCTCAATATTTCCTCAAATGCTTAACGCCTACGTGCGACCTCACGTGGAATATGCTATTCAAGTGTGGCAGAAACAGGATCTCGTTGCACTCGAGACTCCTCAACGACGGGCAACCAAGAACGTCAGGGGCCTCTTCCATCTGCTCTATCAGCTTAGGCTGAAATCTCTAAGAATCTACAGCAGTCGATATCGGCTTTTGCGGGGGGATCTCATAATGGTCTACCAGATTCTGAAGAACCCAAACCACATCTGCCGCCCGCTGCTGGAATTGAACCACAACACTAAACTAAGAGGTCACCCTCTGAAACTGACAATTCATTATAGCCGGCTTGAATGCCGTAGAAATTTCTTTTCTATCCGCGTGCATGATCCTTGGAATGCCCTCCCTAATTATGTCGTCTCTGCTCCCAATCTGGCGACATTTAAAAAACGTGTTGACGATGCATTGTCTCACTTACATTTCATTTTATGACTTGTTAGCCAGGGGCTACAAAACGCAATCAAACGGCTTCCTGCCAAACGCCTAACCAATGGATTTATGGATTTATACGTTTCATACGCGAACATCTCCGCTATTCCACATAAGTCTATGGTGAGTCCACCACAACGCTTTTCACTTTATTATGCAATTGATTTTCGCAATAATTTCCATCCCACGGGACTTGTTAAGCGATGCTTTTTTACCCGTAATAAACCATTGTTCCATTAAGTCAGACGGTCGGTGTCTGGTACAACTTATTTAATACCAAATGTGCCAGCATCGCAAGATGCTAAATTGGATCCACTCGGCCAGAGTTCAGGGTGGAAGTAGAGACGGGGAGTACAAAGTATAGTTGGCAGATCATAGAAATCCTCTTGAATAAATAAATCAATGCGGTTGATGATGACATTCGTTGGTACTACGATCAATCGGCTAACAAAAACATGATGTGAACATTCTATGCAATCCAAGAGATGGCATGTGTGGAGAACATAGCGTGCACAGAAACTAAGATGATGACCTTAGTATATCACAAAAGCATGTTTTTGAAGTAGCACGGTGTTGAGTAACGCTGATTTTGAATACCAAGCGCTCGTAGGGTACGATGCTACTGATTTGCATGTCACTGATGGGCGCGATAAAGCCCGTCTCAAATAAGTATCAAAAGCTGTTGAAGTCAGAGTGGGGCGATCGAGGCTGAAATAACCAGGAAATACAGACAATGAACCCGGGTGGTTATACAAGGTGGAGCGTTGTAGTCAAATGAGGAAATTAGATTATATGAGTAATACGGGAAAGCAACTATCGTGAAAGGTAGAAATAACGCAAAAATCCAAACTCTTCGCAAAATGATAGGTCGTAAGCATTGAATACTGTGACAGGAGAGCGATCTGACTAAAAAAAAGCACCCAAAAGGAGATATCTGCAGTCTAGAGTACTTTTGAGAGCGAACGAAACGCATAAATGGTCGAGGTCAGTTAGTAATAGGACCACTGGTGGATGCCTCACTAGCTGCTTCGATCGCCGACACCAGTGATTTCTCACGTTTATCGGGGGTTTTGACATTGTGCTGATTTTCCTTATCGTGTTCGGATGTCTAGGTGAGACAGTGATTCAGGCTCTACCCACATAGAACGTCGCAACACAAACCAACTGATAGCACACTCGAGGTACTAATGTTGGGCGGGAGTCGACAAACGAAAGTGCACACGGCTATATCGACCTTCGAAAGCGATAAACCCCACCAGATTGAGCCCATTTACGAAAAGTGAGTTATAGAAAGGGATTCGGATGAGAGGGAGGCAAACACAAAGGACGACAACTATTGTCGCACATTATAAGTACTATCCGAAAAATGGGACCAAGAACGTAGTGCTTACAGACGGTCGTAGGACCAATGATAGATTGTTCCTCATGTTCCATTAATTGAACACGGTATCCATGTCGCGAACTGATAGCGCAAGTTGTTTAGCAGGCCACGCAACTCCAAACGAGAAGCGCACTCTGAGAGAGGATGGTGTTCTGTGCGCGATACATCTAGCTCTCTCCACCGCCTACCCCAGTACAAAAATACACGAGTGATGTAGTGCACAACAAGTCCGCGGTTGGACGACGAATTATCATCAACTGCTAACAGAACCGACGTACCTCTGAGTCCGGGGGGTGTGGGTAACCACTGTACCAAATGGTACTTCTCTGTGCATGCTTTGTCAATCTAACGGACCCTATATATGCAGATAGGCTAGCGGTTATCATACCGATACGACAACAAAAAACAATTAGATCTCCATCAATAGATCTAAACGTAATATTTGTGAATACCAGTCATGCTTACCCTCCTACAAAGTCAATGTATTATGGGGCACAGGAACGGCAGTCAATGGCTGGCCAGGGGCCGAGGGTTAGTGTTACTCTCTATTATGACAAAGATAGGACCAGTTCCACATGACGAGAAGCTGGGAGGGAAAGTATTCACGAATTGCTAACCGTTTATATACTACCACCGTTTGCTAACATTCTAACTGTTCTAGTCTGTAAGCTCACCAGTTGAATAGTTCATAGATTATGGTTGAATGTGAAGTATGGGTGTGAATTTTAAAGACATTCCAGAGATACAGATGTGTCTTCACGTGGTCCTCGTACGTTAATTACAGAACAATGACTTCCGTAGGTAGGCACGCCTTGATACAACATTCTCTTCAATGGGCACGCACATGATGCAACATGGAACTCGAGAGCATTTCTCTTGGCAAGGAGGATAGTGAAAATGAACAAACCAGTGACCTCAGCAAGCAGGCGGAATACCAACTAATTTTGCAGTATCGGATGAGTGCCGAGAAGTAGCGAGTTTTATGGATGAGTGCAAAATAACACGTTTCGAAAACGGTTAGTTGAGTATACGTTGACCATCAACGTAGACTTGGATTAAGACCCAGAACAACCGAATACTTTTATACAGGTGCCTGAGAACCTCGTAAATGCGTTTCCATATTCTTTTACCATAGTTGGAAACCACGAGCAGTGAAACACCCGAACGTGCTACCGTTTCTAGTTCACTCTTGCCAGCGATTAATTTCAGTTCACCAGCAAATACTTCTTATCATTTGTTCTACACGGTACTACATAAAGAAAATTATTAAATACAACAAAAAAGCATCCGAGAGCTTGATTGGTCTGGCAAAGTTCGCGGTATCTAGAATAACAGACAAGATGAAAATTCTATTTATGGGATATCAGAAACTACCTGTAATACAGACTTCCCTGAATAATGGGCAAGATATGCCAATGACGGAACGCTAATTGCACACAAAAAATCACAGAATAACGGAAAGGCAATTAGTCGACCGTCACACAGGTACCCAAACAAGTCGAGTGCGCACATTTAAAAGACAAAATCTGAAACCAAGCGCTCCTTCTTCGTTTGGTCAGTTTCATCTACGTACACGCTGACAATAGAAATTGTCTGACCAATCGTTCCTGAGGCACCGCACAATTCAACCATGCTGCGCATTCCTTCTTTAACTTGTTCCACTCCATGGGAGAAACCAGCGCGCATTTTCTGTGCAGCTGCTGTACTTTGGTTACGTAGGTTGGCCACTCCTCTAGCGGATTTCGCACGTAAGTCCGAGAATTCGCCTCTCAAAACTTTTACACCGTGGCCCACATCCCGACGAAGTCGGCTTCTGAATTCTTCTAAATGTTCACGAAAATGTGCTGGATCAGGGCTATCTACAGCACGCGCCAGATCCGCTAACGCATCACGGTACTCTTCCGCTAGTTTTTCGTTTGAAACAACTAGTTTTACATCAGCGCTGTTCGGACGTTGCTTTGTGTGGCAACATATGGCTTCCATGTGCTGCAGTACATCATCCGGATCTAGGACTTGGTCCACAGAGTCGAAACGAGGTGAGATATTTCGTATCCTAACAATGCAGGAACCAGAACGAATGAAGATATACATGAGATTTCGAGGAGCGCGTGCAACATTAACATCATCTTTGGGATCATCATCACCAGCATGCTCCAACGGTGGCTCAGTAGGTGAGCATGCCTTAAGAAAAAGAGACTCGGGTGTTTTTCCTAAGTAGTCTTTCAGAGACGTATCGAGAAGCGAGAGTTTCGTGGCTCCAGATGCAAAATCAATTCTTATCTCACCATCTGGAAGCAAATCTCCAACAGGAATTTCATCGGCCGTAGCACGGCAAGTAGCCTCGCTGAAACATCGAACTTCCTCAGCAAAATGGACAGCTCTGCAGGTTGTGCAAAACCAGTAAGTCGGTGGTTTCAGACATATTGCACAAACACGACCGGACGAAATGTACTGGACAGAACCCTCTGCAATACCATAGGTAGGCTTCTTCGTATTAACTCGACGCACCGTGTATTCGACATCGACCTCTGGCACTGGAATAACACCAATGAATGTTTTACCACCATATGCAAACGGGGGCTGAGGTCTTCGAAGACAGCGTGTTTCATAGCAGTAACGAATGGTTCCTCCTAGAATCCCTGTCAGAAGAATGACAAGCATTGCACCGTAGCCATAACAAAGGGAGACAAGGTATACGTTGGCATGATGCATACTCGATAAGACGCGAAGTCTTATTGGTTTTGATAACACCATATCTACACCGGAACGGCCTCCACAATGCCAATCGCCGGAGAGATGACCTCTAACATTGTTTACCTCCAGTATACTCGTTGACGGATTACTGAAGTAAATGTGGAATGTGGTTGGCGCAAGCAGAGGCTGTACAATGTATGAGTATGTATGATTGACTAGGGAGTTAGAAACGGATTGATTCAGATATACCACACCAACAGGTGAAACCCAAAAGAAAGAAAAGTGTAGATGTGACGTGATAGTACATCTGAATGAAATAGTTTGACCAGTATATGTTCCAGCGATGGTGCCATTGATCAGATTTTTTAGTTCTAAAGTTAAATTAATGGACATGGATGCATCGCAGTTTGTCTTCTCAGACGCACAAGGTGGGAGGCCAATAAAATTCTCTTCATTGGCCAATGCAAAGTTGGGACATGTACATTTAATTGGATTGTTCGAAACGTCTATTGTACGTGGATTCTCCAAACGCCCGTGAAAGGCTAACTTTGGTAGAAAAGTCAATCTGTTGTTTGACATATTCAAAATAGAAAGCACAGGGCTATAGAGCAGAAGATCAGAAGGGACAGAAGTAAGCTGATTTTCACTCAAATCTAGATGGATCAGTTCCTTCAGACCATAGAATGTTCCCATTGGAATGACACTGATACCACAGTTAGAAAGTACAAAATGGCGAATGCGTGACGGGTGGTTCGGAATAGCCCACTTCTTTTCAATCAGAAGATGCTCCACTCGGATTAGAAGATGAGTGAGAGCAGAGATAACAACGTCGGATAGAAACGCAGAAGACAATGTGTACGTAGTTCCAGGTGTACCAAGAATGTCTAATCTGCTAGCATTAGGACAGTTGCGGAGGTCGACTGATGAAATGTAAGGACTCGAAGCGGTTAACAGAACTGTAGCAACAGCGTCGGATGGGTCAGTCCAATTGCAACTAAGTGGAGAATCTTCCATAACCGAATATGTGACTGAATCAGTCAAAAGCACAAAAAAACTTAAGAACGCTGGACAGATATCATCCCACATGTAACAAATATTGTAGTGTGCGTCTCTGATTGATGGTTCCAAGGGCCTCCGTGTTCAGGTGGGCCGTGACAGATCGATTAGGCTGAAATGTAAAACAGATACTTATTAGACGGCTGGATAATTTCATCACAACTACCAAGTAAGTGATGGAGCTAGATGGCTGGTGCGCCTGATTCACACCTCGTAGCGAGCTGGATATCGCTGTCACGATTGCCAATGAAAGACTGAGGTTGAGGTGAACGGTTGGATGGCAAATCAAGTTCAGTTGGGGTTGGAACAATAGGATAATTACGTGATAGTTACTTCTGCTGCGTATCGTTGAACTAGGAACTGACGGGGAGATTTGAGAAACCCAAAGCAAAAGATGCAATGCACCATGGCCAAATAGTTACTGTCCACATAGCCTGTCCATCGGTCCCAGCCAGGCCGCTTACGTAAGAGAAAGTGAATGGTGATGGCAGCTAATAATGATAATGCCGAGGCATGAGAGAAAATAAAACAGGAACAGGAGAAAGGCAAAGGTACAAATCGGCTAGGTGGAGAGAAAGGTTAGGTATTGCCATCCAAAAGCATCTGACGGTCGAAATCCTCAACCGGAAGCGAGTTCCAGTGCAAAATAACGGCGTGGCAAACGCGTTTGCGTCCTAACCTGATCAGAACACAGTATGTGAAGCGCAGCCGGTATCCGCGGGGAAATAGTGGTACTAAACAGCCAGAAAATGCCTGGACTGATGCTAGTCGTTAAAATACGCAAGTCGATCTTTAGTTTCGATTAGCTGGAAGTCCTAAGGAAATTCAAGTATCTGGACAGCTATTTTAGCACCCATGGGATAGAAGATGAGGTCAAGTCAGACAAACTGTCTCCTGGTCCTCCATCTTGGGGGTTGGAAATGGGATGGGACCCATTTCTGTAAAACTAAATCATTGCCACCTCCCCGCTGTTTTGCGGATAGGCTTTCGAGTTGAGGACCCTAATCATCCTCCTGTCTAGGTCTGGGCACCCTGGCAGATCACAGCCCACATACAACCATGATAATTTCTTCAAACTTTAACCACATCCTGCATCAACCGCCACGCAGATTATCAAGGGTCGCCTCATCTGCTGCATACAGCAGGGCAGGTGGGCGAAAACAAGCTACTGCTGGTGCCTCCCTACTTTCTTTTCCACTTATTTCTCTTACTCCTCTCCCAACCCTCATTACTAATCCGGTTCGAAGCCTAAAGGTATCAAGCTTGTCTAGTAATTTGACGGCGCGAGTTCGAGCTTGTGTAGGGTCAGGGCGACCCACGCAGTATCCTTAGCCCACGTGCGACCGGTGGTGGTTGCGCGGCAGCGAAGCGGCGGGACTGCGTACCGATGCCATTCTCCCTCTTCTCCCATTACTAAGCTACCTACCACAGTTCCCAGCTTAATTAACAGCAGACGTGATACCACTAGAGTCGAACCCTCTACAGCTAACTGCCCGCACTACCCACTGGACGCCCACAGGCAACAGCCCCTCATAAGGTCACGCTGTCCCGTTTCCCTGGCGGCGTTCAACGCTCACGCTCTAAGACAAATAGGTCAACAGGCTGTACTCGCACGCCTTAGACACACTGGGTAATGACATGTGTTATGTATCCGAAACTAGGATCAATAACCCTCAATGGGGTTGTTAAACTAACTGCGCCCGACTGGTTCTCTCGCATCCGGAGACACTGATGCGGTAGTCTCTGGTCAAGTTGGGGTGGGTATCGTACTCAGCTCCAAGACTGAATCACCGTTGGTTGACTGGGTTCCGGTGAACAGTCGTTTGTGTGTAGCCCGCTTGCGGACACCGACGAAGGTTGATTCACGAAGTAGTACAAGACGCTGCTAGTTTGCGGTTTCCGCTTATGCTCCCACCGACTGCAGTTCTGATGCCGCCAAGGACCCATTCCACCAGGAACTGAGCATAGTAGTACGCAATGCTACCAGTTCAGATATCATAGTACTTACAGCAGATATAAATGCGCACATAGGTCACCTGGGCTCTTCAGAAGCTCGGCTAGGTGGGAATTATGTGCTTAACTCCGCCGACCGAACGGACATCGACGTGCGTCTTTTGCAACTGTGTGCGGAGCACCAGTTGTCTCATAGTAGCACTGCCTCCAGACACAATGTGCACCTTCCTGTATTGGGCCAGCGATGGAGCCAGGTAGCCTGGTTCCATACCGGATTGCCGCTCGTTCTGGAGAACTTGCGACGACTCTGATGATGCCTCGGCATGCTGTCGTTCTACCAAGAGGTGCACCAAGCATCTTCCCCGATTGGCAACCGAGAAATTATCCCAGCCCTTGGCGAAGTGTTGTATTAACGCTTTTCCATTCACTTACCTGGCTTTTACCTAAGGCATCGTAACCCGTTCTTTTACATTCCAGTTCAAGTACTTCCGTTGTTGGACCAGTAAAGCGTATTCCTCTGTCTCCGAGTTATCCCATTTGTTGTGCTACATTCGTTAAGCGCATCAATTTCCATGAATCACTGTCTTCGTCCAGACAAATTTGAGATCGATCCAAAGGCATCTGACGCTTCTAGGCAATGGACTTATTGGTTTCCACAATCCAACACCTTCCTAAAACGAAATCAATCTGAGCACTTAGACATCTAGGTATGCGCGCAAAATTTCTTTCCTTTTCAATCAATAAGCACGTTTCTGAATGCAAAACATTCGACAGCACTGTTATATTTGTGAAAAACCCCATAGCAAGATCAGAAGTCAGTGTAAGCGAACATTTGCTTTCGATAATTCCTCATCGGGCTTCTAAAGTTTTACACGCACACACACACTAGAGATGTTAGCTAGAGGCGCGAAACACCTCAGATACCGTGCCGCAATACACAAAAAGGGAACAAAATACAACAGGTGCAAGTCAGATGAGCTACCGGTAACGGATGGGCATAGTGCCCGTAAGCTATCTGCTGACTATTATGCAACAAAAAGAGGAATTTCCTAAGCAAAATTATAAAAGGCTAAATAACGAGATCTTGGTTGGGAGGCTAAAAAGGATGGGGAGAGACAAAAAAACTCACAGCACGAATACCAATGAGGTCGGCTCCTAGCCATATCAACAAGTGTATCCAGCCAAACGTGCTCATCGGCATTTGGACCCCAACCAGGGAGCCCAGACGCCCCAAATGAGGCCAGCTTCGAAGTGAGCGCCTCCATTCCTCTCGACCAAGTCATCGCTTGGCCACTCCTCCTCTTCTGCCATCCACACTCCCGGCGCGCAAACAACACACGTCGTGGAAGTCGGTGGGCTGGCATGCGCAACACGTGCCCGAGCTATCGAAGCCTAGTGCATGAAATGACCCATAAACAAGGCGTCGAAGAGGCTCGTAATCACGCGGTGTTCCCACCAGATGTGAGCCAAACTGCCAAGGCACCGATGATCGAACGTAACTAGCCTCTTTATGTCCGCTGATCTAAGGTGCCAGGTTTCGCAACCGTACAGTAAGGTCGAATGTACGGCTGCATTGTACACTCTACCTTACAGGGCGAGAGATTTTGTTATACGGTTCGTGGTCTCATCTTCAATCCCATGGGCGCTGATACAACCTCGCAGGTAGTTGAATTTCTGAACGACTTCCAGCTGATCCCCACCAAGGGTCAGCGCAGGAGGCGATCCCGCCTGTAGTTTGTCCGGTAGAATGCGTCTTAGTTTGGCAGATATAGGAGGACTGGTTGTGATGATACGATGACAGATATCGTGCTTGGACACCATAGTGACGTCATATACACTAGCCAGAGAAGGAAAATGCTGCAGTAATAACGAGCAGCGTGAATTTTAAGTAAAAGAACTTGAAGTCTGATGGAATTGACGGTAGCTAGTCGCCTGGAAATAGTTATCGACTTTGTACCGTCTCGCAGCTTGCCAGAACGCATGTATGCGACAAGGCCGAGTTTAGTGAGAAGTCGATACCAATAATAATCTTCTGTACATCCACAACCAGGAAAATGGAAGAGAAATTATGTCGTAATGCAAGAGTCAGCGTGAGCAATCTCTGGCCATACGTCGCGATCTTGGTTTGCTTAGTCGCCTGTAACGTAATTTCTGTTGGTCGCAGAGCGCGTTTTCCAGTCAGTATCAACAAAAAGTGAAGTAAACTTCACTCCTCCTTTACTTTTACGGTATGGTGGAATCGAAAACGAGTAATAGTTTGACCAGTAGCAGCCGTCGCCATCAATTACTGGCGCTGTCATTTCCCTGCCGAGAATCCACGAACTTTTTCGGGTATTTACAACCGGGGCGACAATTGCTAGCAGCATCACAGAAACGGGGGAAGTAGCAACACGATCGTGATCGTCTGGTGCGATATTGACTACGGCGCTTACTCCTTGAGACAAAGCTACGGTTTGCAGGTCACTCACGACCGACTTGAGACACAACGAGTTCTAACCGAGAGAGCCTTTCACTCATAGTATCTAGTGCGGCACTTCCAGATGGAGTATTCACAGCAGACTGAAAGAACCGTACATGGACTTTGTCGGTCGCTTCGGTTAATTTGTCTAATGGGAGTTCATCAGCGAGAACTGCTAATATCGCCGTGGTAGTTGCTGAAAGCCATTTAGTCCTGAGTTGTCTAAAAATGGAATTAACCAGGATCGAGGAACCCACAAGAACATGTGCAGCAGGAGCTGAGGCGGACTGCGGTCTCCATGCTAAATACCTGAAATTAGCATGTGTAACCGTGCTTCATCGGAAACTGTAGTGTATTTTAGAATGATTAATTAAAGCGTGTCATACGGCGATCCAGTCGACATCGGATCAAGAATGTCAACAACCTCCGAGGACCTCTAAGACGGAAGATGAGCGATGACGTATGAAAACAGCAATGGTTGCGAAGTGATCCTACGAAAATGAAAAATTACCACCATCTGAAAAACTAGACATGTGGGTTTCAAACTTCAAAAGTGGGTAACGAAAAACCAATGGAGTTTTCACATGGTTCACAGGGATCAGCGTGGTTAGACATTTTGAAAGAAAAAAGGAAGAAAAGCAATGAAACACAAGTACATAGTCATCATCATTGTACACGTCAACTAGAGGTTGAAAACACCTC